AATGTTAGAGTGAGCACATCGTATCTCTCCACCTCCCCTTCCTTTGGTGATTTATCTAACTGGTGAGATTGCAGGAGTGGCACCCACTTGGCCCTAATAACCAGGGTATCTGGACACTGCAAGGAAAGGCAGTAGGGGCCTGGCTGTGGGCTCCGGATTTCTCAAGAAAGTGGGTTTGTGAAGTGGCCACAAGATCATGTGTCATTTGGCTTTGTGGTCTCTGCACCCGCTCTCCCTGCAGGGGCTCCAAGGTCTAGACTTCAGGCCAGGAATAGCTCACTGGACTTCTACTGTGGACCCAGGCCCAAGCTGCCCCTTCCAACATGGCTTTCTAGAGAGCCCTGCTCTCTGAGCAAGGGGCTGGCATGTGATCCTATGTGGCTCCCCCGGTTTGTTTCTCAGTTGGGAGAATGCAGAGGTGAGGACAGATGAAAGACCACACCCTGGAAATCCCTGCAAATGGCCTGTTGGCCAGAAAACCCTAGGAAGTATTACATCTGGAGACCCAGGAAAGACCAAGTCTGTTAACTCCAGTCAGGGTTCTCCTCACATCAGACAGAGCTTTGGCAAACAGTTTCTTTTGAGGCATTCCCCAGTGAAGCTTTTATTGTGTCTAAGGCAGGACGAAGAGACATGAGGGCTAGAGAAGGCACCAGCTCTTCCCCCAGGGTGAGATTTCAGTCTTTGAATGGTCAGTGCCAAACAGAGATGGGCAGGTAGCACCAGAGCACCAAGCACACCCATCTCAGAGGATTTCCCTTCATTCGCTTTTCTCTGCTTATTCACTTTCTCTTTGGAGTGAATGCTTCTAAGTCTTCTCACCAGGCCCTCCTCCTCCTCCTCCTCCTCCTCCTCTCATGGATGAGGCTGGGGATGCTCCCTAGTTAGTAGGATGGGTTGCTCTGCCTCAGTCACTGGCTCTGCAGGGTTGCGGCCAGCAAGGCTCCCACTCACCCAGCTTCAGCGTCTCAGGCTGTGTCTAGGTCACCACCTAGGACAGGCTGGCTCTCCCCTAGAGCTGGCTGTCATCCACCGAAGAAGGTGCAAGGAGGAGAAAGTGTCATCGGGACTTTAAGTCCAGGCCATGTCCTTCAGCAAAGTTGACCAGGAGGTCTGTATTTTACAACTTTCAAGTGTTCTCATCAGTTAAAGAGATGTCCCTTGATTCCAATCTGGCTTTTTTGTCACTTCCTCCATTGGTCAGAATCCAAAGGGTGAATGGCTGGGACTGATATCCCCACAGATATCTGATACTGTGATATCCCCACAGTAACAGAAGCATGTTCTACTTGTGTCTGGAGGAAGTGTCAGGGCCTCCGCTGCCTGCCACCAGGCGTCCCTTGCAGCCGCTTATTTGACAGTTTGTACACCTTGTCTCCAGCAGGTACCGGATCAAGTGGAAACACCGTCCAATCCATCAGGCAGCAGCACCCGAAGACCCACTGTGTTTGACATGGCGATTAGAACAGGTCCCAGCCATCTTTAGTTTCTGCCAGGAAATCCAGCCCTCCCCCGCCACCCTGAAGCACAGCTCCTCATGCAGGACTTCCCCACAGGAAAGGAAGCAACATCGCAACAAGAGGTTGAGTGACCAAGGTTGGACGTGCGGGTGGTGACTCAGAGGGAGCAGGAAGCCAGAGTCCCATGGGCTGCAGAGCCACCAGCTCTGGCCTGGTTGTTGGAGATGGATCAAATGCAGGGCCAAGGATTCAAGTACGCCCCATCCACCATGTATTGGCATTTTGTCTTTCTCCCAGCAAGTCACATTCTCTGTTTATCCCCAAGCACCCGGCAGTATTGGCATTTGCATGTCAGGTCCAAGGAGTGACCCGGAGGAGATTTTTCTCTACCTTGCCTGGTCAACAGGAGAGGACAGTCAGACCACCTGGCTATGGCACAGACACACTGACATGGGAAAGACTGAGGTGGTGCCCTCTGATCTAATGTTGTTTACCCCAAGAAGAGAGTAAGATGGGCTTCTGAAGCCTACACAATCACTTCTGAGTCTCCTTAGCTATAAACCTGGGTAGGGGAAAAGGTAAATGCAAGGGCGCCATGACAGGGACCATCAACAGTACCCCCTTAGCCTCTTTATCATGGGGTGTCAGTGAATGGTAGCTCTTGTCATTGTCATCATCATTATCACCATCACTATCACCACCACTACCGCAAGAACCAGCAGCCAGGGCACCCCTAGTAGCCACTGCAGCTACAGACAGCAGGAGGGAGGGAGAAGGGAGGAAGGAAAGAGCCTAGTTTCCAGGCAGCCTGGGCGGTCCCTCTCCATTTCATAACACTGGTCTCCTCCCACCTCAGTGGCAGAAGTAGAAGCCAGAAAACCCCTCCTTGTGAAGGTGAAGACCCCAGGATCCAGGCTGAGGGAGCAGCCCCGACTCCCCAGAGCTGAACAGGGGAAACCTCCACTCACCCGCAGGTCAATTTCCCACAGGAAGCCTTGGAGGAAACATGACAACCAGGCCGGAGCAAGGCCAGCACCAGGGCCCCTGCGGAGCTTGGGCTAGGAACCAGCTCTTACTTCTGCCGGGGCAGGGTGGGAGGGCTTAACCCATCTGTGACAGACAGAATATGTGTCACTGTCAAAACATGGACAACTGATTGAGCTTTTATAATGAAGGGATCCTTTTTGACTTTTGACTGACACTGAGGGGGAAAACTGAGGTCTCTTGAGTCAACTGCTAAGGCCAGCGTGGCTGAGACAGGCTTCCCTCATGGAGCACTTTGCGAAAACCCATCATTGTGGTTCCCGCATGGGTAATAAACGGCACAAATAGGTCAGACAGCACATCGGACACAAGACACAATCTCAGAGTTTAAGCCATGAATGGGCCTGGAGCCAGCAGGGCAACATTCCATATGGCCCCTCAAAGAGTATCTGGTACATGTCACACTTCAAATTACATTTTATAAAGACTTCAAAACAATATGGCAATCTGAAACAAAACAAAATGGCTGTTGCTTAGGGACAATTTCAAGAGGAAATTCATATATTTAAAGAAAAACAGAGATACCGAACTGTCACACCTCCTCCTATTCCCCCTCCTCCTAAAAAAAAAATTAAAAGGAGAAACACAGTACAGTACTTTTCAGGCCTCAGTGGTTTAATGGCCATGGGAAATTTCAAATTGGCATCTCCAGTTGGGAGAATTCATTCTCCAGGATGAATGTCTTGTCAGTATTGGACACAATCCCTCCACATATCACCATGGTAAATAAAAGGTGCTCAATGCATTTTGACTTGTCTCAAAAGAAGTAAGACCTCAGTGTACCTTTAAATAAACTGTTATAAGTACAGCATGGTCTTGAGGATAAATAAACCTCCTGACTTGTTCCCACAGGTTTAAAAACTTAACAATTAGGTCCCATGCTAATACTGGGGCTGAGACAGCTCCTGGCATTGCTGAGGCCAGGCTGAGGGCAGGGGCTCAGGAGGGAGGCAGGTGGCTGACACCTCTTCCACTCAGGCAGTCAAAGTGCCAATGGCCCCTTAAACCCAAGGCCGAGCAGGGAGGCCACCCCCAGCTGCGTGTTGCCTGGTCAGGAGTCACCGTCCTCCTTAATTCCATTTCATTTGACTTTACTTGGACAAATAAAATCAAAGCAAATGGCAGGAACCACACTACAATAGAAGATTGGTACTTCTGAGGGATAAGATCCAAGACCTTCACAATTCCCGAGCCCACAAGCACCACTACGGAACAGCTGAAAAATTTAGGTGCCTTGAATGTGGGCTATGACAGGTAAAGGCATCAGAGAGCTGGGGGACGACAGCAGCTCTCCCCCACCCCCTCCACCAGCTAACAGAGCTGCTCTCTCTTAAACATCTGCCTTGCCAAGTACTTTTCAGTCTTAGCAAAATGGCAAATTACCACCTGACCTGGACTTTTCATTCTCCTGTGAAACCACAAATGCTATGGCCTCACATACAAAAGTCAGTCTACTTCGCAATCTTCAGAGACAACCTCTGAAGCAATCCTGGGATAAACAGGACTCCTCAAGATTTAAGATACTGAGCCAGGGACTAGGCATGGTGGCTCACACCTGTAATCCCAGCACTTTGGGAGGCTGAGGCAGGTAGATGCCTTGAGCCCAAGAGTTCATGACCAGCCTGGGCAACATGGCAAAACTCCCATCTTGACAAAAAATTATCCGGGTTTGGTGGCATGCCTGTGGTCCCAGCTATCCACAAGGCTGAGGTGGGAGGATCACTTGAGCCTGGGAAGTCGAGGCTGCAGTGAGTCACAATCATGCCACTGCACTCCAGCCTGGGCAACAGAGTGAGACCCTGTCTCCAAAAAAGTATGTGAGTCAGGGCTTGCTGGATGTCTGAAGCAATCTCTGAGGCAGGACATAGGAGAAAATTCTGGAAACCTGCATAACAGCTAAGGCTTTAGAGCACGTTTGTCCAACCTGTGGCCCACAGGCTGCATGTGGCCCAGGATGGGTTTGAATGTGGCCCAACACAAATTCATAAACTTTCTTAAAATGTTATGAGATTGGACAGGCGTAGTGGCTCACACCTTTAATCCCAGCACTTTGAGAGGCCGAGGTGGGCAGATCACTAGGTCAGGAGATCAAGACCCTTCTGGCCAACATGGTGAAACCCCATCTCTACTAAAAATATAAAAATTAGCTGGGTGTGGTGGCGCGTGGCTGTAATCCCGACTACTCAGAAGGCTGAGGCATGAGAATTGCTTGAACCCAGGAGGCGGAGGTTGTAGTGAGCCAAGATGGTGCCACTGCACTCCAGCCTGGTGACAGAGCAAGACTCTGTCTCAAAAAAAAAAAAAAATTATGGAGTTTTTTTTTTGCGATTTTTTTTTTAAGCTCATCAGCTATTGTTAGGGTATTTTATGTGTGGCCCAGGAAAGACAAAAGATTGGGCACCCCTGCTTTAGAGCTTTTCAACATGCTGGTCATAGTCATATATTCAATGTTTCATTCATTTACATTAAAATCTCCTGTTTGGTTTAAATACTTACATCATTTTCTAAAAAATTAAACATGCTTCTTTCAGCCAACTCCTTTGACTCTTCAAATTTTTCTACCGCTTGTCTGACTTCTTCGTCTGGTATCTTACCTACTCGTTTCTTTTTATAATCGTAATCCAGGCGGCGGCCTTCCAGCTTTTTCAGGTGATGCTAAAAAAAGAGAAGGGAGTCCCTCAGAGAGGCGCTACATTCAAAACGTGGCACAAAAAAATTATTTCTATTAAAATGGTCATTGCTTTTTCTCGGCCTAGATTCCAGAGGGCAGGAACCCACCTTACACTGCTGTTGGGAGCACCTCAGCACCTGATGGAGGCTCTCCTCACTTCAGGTGCTCAAGGAATATTTGTGGAATGAATGAATGAATGAATGGACAGATAGGTGATAGAATAAATGAGTGTCTGTATGGAACATAAAGATGCAGTAGCCATGCTCAGATATTCTTTTCCAATGTTCTTTATACGATCCCTCACTTCAGCCTTCTTAATGTCCAGATAATTTCTAACCAGGTTAACCAAACAAAACATAGTAGAAACATTTCTTTTGGCACTATTGTCAACGCCTGACTAAGTAGTAGACTATAAAATCACAAACTTCTACAATCCCTTAGAATATTAATGGATCTCCATAAAGTTCCCAAACAATCAAGAAATAAGTTGTATAAAATGCTGTTGATGAATGCAAAGGAGAGAGATTCACAGACAACCTCTGAAATGGGAAAAACTCTAAACAATATTATAACCCCTTTAACAAAATCTAACAGAACTGTCTACTCATGGAACAGGCTGCCTTGTGTAGCAGGTTTCCCATCATAGTTTGTGTCCAAGCAGAGAGACCCCGTGTCAGAACAGTGTCGAGTGGGAGAGCTATACAGGACAAGGGAGGGGTCCCTGGAGAGTTTATGGCTATAATCCTCAGAAATCAGACACTGGGTATCGAAAGTGTATGTAGAAACTGATCATCCCACTGAAGCACGAGGATAGCTTGCACTATTCATTTTAGCAGGAAGCACTGCTTCTAACTTTCATGACTCGGTGAAAAGAGCACCCAGAGAGTCAGAAGCATCTGTCTCCTATGCTGTGACTTTGGGCTGGTCCCTAATCCCTCTCTACCTCTACATGAACACCTGAAAGTCAGTCATATGTCAAATGAACAGGCTCCCAACCCCTGATTTCTGAGCGACATGGAGCATAGGCGAGACTGTGAAAGGCTTCCTAAACCTTGGACTCTTAACTTTCCATCATCCACATAATTTAAGTTTAGATTTACAGTTCTATATCAAACAGCATCTGAGTAACAAAATGGCATTTAGAAAATTATTTTTTTGCATAGGGAACTGCAACATTTCAGAATAAGTGTATTTTACACATTTCACCCACTTACTACTCAGGACCACATATGTGTCTGTGGTTGGCCAGGTGGAGGAGCAATGCTGACTTTTCATATGACCTTCCTCCATGATGACCGCACAAGAAGAAATAAAACTTGCTATATGTCAGCAAAGGAGACATTTGGTTTTACAGCTGTGCATTTGGGGGAGATGTTTTGGCATCCCCAGAACCCAGACTGTCACTTCTCTAGAATCAACCATTCAAAAATAATTTGGAAAAACATCTCCTGTACCCAACCAACATATACACCTACTAAGTACCCACAAAAATTAAAATAAAAAAAAATAAAATAGGCCAGGCGCAGTGGCTCACACCTGTAATCCCAGCACTTTGGGAGGCTGAGGCAGGCGGATCACGAGGTCAGGAGATCGAGACCATCCTGGCTAACATGGTGAAACCCCGTCTTTACTAAAATACAAAAAAATTAGCCAGGTGTGGTGGCAGGCGCCTGTAGTCCCCGCTACTCAGGAGGCTGAGACAGGAGAATGGCGTGAACCCAAGAGGTGGAGCTTGCAGTGAGCCGAGATCATGCCACTGCACTCCAGCCTGGGCAACAGAGCGAGACTCTGTCTCAAAAGAAATAAAAAATAAAAAATAAAATAATGTGTGTGAGCACAAACCATGTGGCAGGCTTGTGACTACAGGGAACAAACCACGATCCCTCACCCCAAGGAATGGACTGCTCAATATGAGCAGAAGGTAAGCAACAGTGCTCATGGCACAGGGGCACAGAAGGGGTACCCCACAGAGTCTAGCAAAAGAACAAACAGCTTCCCAAAGGAAAGCACATCCGAGCTGAGGGGTGAGGTGACACAGCCAGGAGATGGGGTGAAAGGACAAAGACAGCAAATAGCGAGAAAGCACAAAGCAAAATGTCACCAGGGAGCTGGAAATGATTCAGTGAGGCTGGACAGAGTTCACATGGGGAAGGGGTGGCAATAAGGCCACAGAGGAAAGGAGGGGCCAGGCTGTGAAGGGCTGAGGGGCTGTATCTTCACCCCACCTCCGGTGGGCAGCCAGGAAGGTTTGCAGCTCAGGAAGGATGCCCTTGCTGTGGGCTAGAGAATGGACAGGAGGGAGTGAGATGTGACGCCAGCGGTCAAGGGCAGCTGTACTGATGTGCGTAAATGTTAACAGGAAGAAGCCAACAGATAGAAAGGGAAAGAATGAAGGTACAGCAGAGAGGACGATGGATGTCACAACGGCCCTGAGGAAGTGAGAGATGACAAACCCGGCGGCCCAGTAGAGGACTTGAGAGCAACAAACATGTCCCTGGCTTGACAGCAACAGGAACATGTTTCCCCTGAGATGGAAGAAGAGGATGGTATGCATGACGGGGCCAAGGGCTGTGCAGGTGGGGAGTGGGATGTTTAGGGAGCTCCTGAATGGGTGCTTTCATTTCTCACTCAGACTTCCTGAATTCTCCCTCATACCCTTTGCTTTCAGCAGAAACTCTAAATGCAATGCCTGGACAGGCATCCAGGGCTTTCCGTGACTCTCAGTCTTTCCTCCCTCCATAGCACCTCTCTCCCTACACACCCTATCCCCTGGCCATACCACACAATCGAGGTTCCAGAGCCTGCCTGCTCTCACAGCCCTGGCCCTCTGGTCAGCTTGTGCTGGATATTTTGCCCACCTGAGTCTCCCAGTCTGCATAGCCAGCTTCTCCTCCTCTGGGAAGCCTTCTCTGACCCAGCCAGGCTGAGGGAGGTGCCTCTCCTTCATGTCCCTGGGCTAATCTCTCCAACAACTGTCAAAGTGCATGATATCTGTTGACTTGTCTCTCTACCCTACACCTGTGAGTTTCACGAGGGCATGCACCAGGTCTTGGTTAGCCACATATGGCCACTGCCCACCACAGTGGCAAGGCACAGCAGGCCCTCTATACACAGTTGATGGATGAATAAATACATCAACGAATGAACAAAGGAAGAACCAATAATCTGACATTCATCAGTTCCTTCTCTGGCCCCTGGAATATGAAGCCATCTCAAGGCCCACGGTCCAAGCAGGGAAGGCCACCCAAGCTCACACATCCCATCAGCCTCATCTCTGTCACACAGGCTAGACCAGTGGGGGTTCACACTTCCCCCTCGGGTTCTGGAAAAAATGGGCTAGAACGGTGGTTTTTGAACATTAGTATGCATCAGAATTACCTGGAGGACTTTATAAAACACAGACTTGCTGGGCTTCACCCCCAAGATTTCTGATTCAGGAGGTAAGGGATGGGGCCTAAGAATTTGCATTTCTCACAAGTGATGCTGATGTTGCTGGTCCAGGCACCACACTTCGAGAATCAATAGGTCTGAAGAAGGGAAAACAGGATATGCCCAAGGTTCAAATGACCTCCAAGTTGAGATCATGCTCGAAGGTACCCAGAGGAACATCTTCTGTACATATCCATAAGAACGTGCTTGTACCTCCAGAGTAGAAGTCCCTGGTGGGGTAGAAGTCTCGGGGCTGTTTTCCCACATCTACAAAAATGCCACCATGCAAGTGGCATGCAATTATCTCCAGGTACCTGAAAATTCCTATGCATATCATTTTTAACAGTTTTCCAAATGAAAAATTCAGTCTCTAGGTGTTGATTTTCTTGAGAAGTAATGGAAAATAATGACCACCAGGGCAATGCATCAAAATATGCAACTATGGTATGATTTTGATAATAAGAAATGCACTACAAAGTTATGTAATTACTTTGTTATGTGATAAATGGCTGCAGAAATATGGATTTTTAGCCTGGCTTTGAGCTGGCTTCAACTAGATACAGAATTTCCAGCTGAAAGAACATGCTTACATTCCCTCCCATTATCCTGCTTCATCTCCAGGGCAGATAGATCCTGGCACTCTTTCCCAGTGAGCCCAGGAAAATAGAACTGGGTTATTTTTACCCTACCCACAAGCATCATAAGATGATGCTTTCAGTGAGTCCCTGCTGAAACATTCTAATGATTTTAAATATAAACAGCATCTTAAGTAGCAACAGGTATATTTATAGCCTGGAAGACTTACCCCAATCTCTTTTAAATCTTTATCTTGTAGTAACTGAAGTGGATCAATAAAAGTTTGCTTTACATTAATATCAAGAGAGTCTTTCACCTCAGCCATTAGCTTCATGGATTCACCAACTTCTATCAATGCATTGCCTTGAATAGAAAACATAAATACAAAAGGTTCTTTGGGAGACTACTCCAGGTTTAACAGTGCTATTTATTTCATTCTTTACCAAAAGTTTGTGGATGATGGTGTAGCAAGGTCCTTGCTCCAGGACCTCTGAATCCTGGAACAGAATGAAAAAGAAAAAGCAAGGCTTCCTATTTTCTGCATTTTCCTCTCTATGTTCTACACTTTCACCACCACAGAAAATACAACTGAGGCTAGCAGACCGAAGTACTTACCATTTGGGCCACTAGATGGGGATAAAGATCCTTTTAAAAAAACTGGTAATTTGGGAATCTGGCACGGAGGGTTCCTTAGAAGCTTAAGAATAAAATCTCCTTGTAAACAATGAAAGGATTCACTCATGGGGCTGTTAACCAGTAAAAATTACAATAGAAATAAACCAATAAAACATCTCAGCTTCTAGCTGTGGGATCTTCTCAAGGCTACTCCCTGTATCCTTCTAGAAGGTTCTAAGGCTCCCTGCCCTCTCTGATGTCAAAGAAAGCCTGCTGGTGTCACATGGGACATCCTGTCAGCAGGGTGGGGTGGGGGTCTGCTGGTGCACTAGAGCCCAGGCCAGACTTCCTGGCTTGGGTAGTGACAGGTAGTTTTTCCTGGATTACAGTGTGGTATCTCAGTCCAGTTAATCGGCAGTAATTTGCCATATTATTGCAGACCACGTGCCCTCTAGTTCTCTGTACAATGAGGGCTGCAGGGTCTCTAGAAAACATCCCTGGGAAATGCTGCACTAGAATGAACTATTTTTCCTATATTTGAGTTTTTCCAAATTGATCTTGTAAAAAGATGGAGATTGGGGTTGCTCAATTCCTAGGCTTAAAGAAGACTGTAAAGCCCAGCCTAAGTCTGACCTTTGAGTTGTTTCACCCACCAGGCGAGGGCATGGACAACTTATTCACCTGTAAAACAGAGATGGCAACATGTGCCTCACCTCCCTTAAAATAAAAAAATAAACAGAAAGATACTAGATAGGACCTTGCAAAACAGAAGTAGGAACCATTACTCTAAACTAAGGCTTCCCAGGACTCTACACGGACCCAGTGGTAGCTTCATTCCTCCTTGGAAGCTAAATTTCCTTAGCTCAACTCTCCAAAGTGTGTCTAAATAATTCCTAAATGAAGATGAAATATCCCTTCCTAGCCTGTGGACTATTTCCTGCCCAAATGGTGAGAAATATCAGTGTCCCATTTGGGTGATAGAAATGGTCACCATATACTGACCCCACACCCAGCCCCTCTGCCACCAGTGCCAGTGCCTCACAATGTCAGCTCATTTCACCTTGACAGAAACATTTTCAAATACGTTGGAGACTCCAAAGATGATGCTCTGAACATGGGCCGCCACCTCCCTGGAATCGACATTCCCTCTCCTTGCCTGAGACTGGCGCCGTCCAATTCCACGGGTGTGGGGCTCAGCCTCCACCCACTGAGGTTTCTGCACTGAAGTCCCAGCATGTGGCCCCCCCAAAAGAAAACATCCAACGGCACAGCCTCTTCCTTGGAACAGCAGAAATCCATCTGTTCCTGACGCCCTGCTGACATCAGCTCTCTTCCTTACCCCAAGTTTCTTTAGGTTGCTGGGCACATGGGAAGCTACCAAATTGTCTGGCTGTCACCAAGGCCAGATGCACGGCAGGAGTGTCCTTGGATGTCAGGGCCTGCCTGGCAGTTTCACCTGCTCCCTTCACTGATGTGCCTTCAGAGTAAGAGATAGGCCATCTTGTCCCCATTGGCCCTTAGAAGAAAATAAAATTCACATTATACTGCTCTGAGGAATAATGCTACCCTTTGTCACTAATTAATTCATGTTTTAATGCTTGAGTTTTAACATTTTTTTCAAAAGATATTTCCTTCAATTTCCTAGAATGATTACTGTGGCCAAATATTTGATTTCTCAACTTCCATCTCCTGCCTTGTTACCACTACATGAATAGCAACTATGCCAAATTCTTTTGGAATACTTAGTATATTAAATCCAATTAATCCTCAATTTAATTTATTAATTTAAATGAATCTCAATCAAAATGTAATGACTTTTTTAAATAAGAGGTACTTAAGTTTCACCTGGAAAAATAAAACCAGTAAGTGTGTCCATAAACTTTTTACAATACAATACCTAGATAAATTTTTAGTAAAATATATTAAAGTATGTTTTAAAACTTTAATACTTAAAACAATATGACACTGAATCAAAACAGGATATAGATCAAGAAACAGAAGAGAAAGACCATAAACAAACAACTTATAAAAATTAGTCTATAACAAAAGAATCATTTCAAATCATCAGGAGAAAGTTGGACTTTTCAATAAAGTACTGAAACAGCTATTTATTTGTTAGAAAACAAAATTAGAACCCTATTGCACTGTAGCTCCAATAAATGCAGGAGCTTGGAAATTTAAAGGCAAGAAAAGAAAATATAGAATTCAAAAACAAGTATAAATAAATATGTATATCATTTGCCAGGGAGTGGGATGAAAAAGATTGTCTAAACATGATTCCAAAAAGCTAGAAACCATATAAGAAGACTAAAGAGCTTCACTAAATAAAAAATAAAAATATCTCTCCATTGAAATGACCTTCATACACAAGGTCCGAAGGTAAATGCTTACCTGGGACAAAATTTCATCAACATACAAGACAGCCAATGAGCAAATATCCTGACCATTTAAAGAGCTCATGAGACAGGAGGGGGGAAAATGGACCTCCTAATGCAAAAGCAGGCCAAGGACACAAACACACAATTCACAAAAATAATGACAAACACAAATAAAAATTCCACCTCACACGTGATCCAAAAGATGGAGCTAAAACAGCAATGAGATATCATTTTTGTATACTACATATCAAATGATCAGTCATTTAAAAGTAAATTAAAAAGATAACCTCTAGGGTTAGGAACTGTGTAGGGAAACACCCTCACTCACTCCTGGCAACAGTGTCAAATGGGTGTAACCCTTCTGAAGGTAGGTTGGGACTATGCTTTCAAAACCTGAAAAATAAGCATAGCCTTTTTTTTTTTTTTTTTTTTTTTGAGAGGGAGTCTCACTTTGTCGTCCAGGCCGGAGTACAGTGGCGTGATCTCGGCTCACTACAATCTCCATCTCCCAGGTTCACGTCATTCTCCTACCTCAGCCTCCCAAGTAGCTGGGACTACAGGTGCCCACCACCACGCTGGCTAATTTTTTTTGTATTTTTAGTGGAGACGGGGTTTCACTATATTAGCCAGGATGGTCTTGATTTCCTGACCTCGTGATCTGCCCGCCTCGTCCTCCCAAAGTGCTGGGATTACAGGCGTGAGCCACCGCACCAGGCCGAAAGAAGCATACCCTTGACTCAGCAATTTTATACTAGAAATGTTATCTAAATTACGTCAAAGAATATAATTTTGGATATCCCCAAAGATTTACCTACCAAAACAGTTATTGTAAATGCTATGTAAAATGTTTTTACATAAAGAAACATTTATTTAGTAAATGGGATTGACTGAACAAACTATGATACATGAAATATTATGTAGCCATTAAAAACAATATCATGGAAGATTAATTATTTTATGATATGGATCATTATATAGTCAGTGTTACCGAGGAGTATACGTACTATAGCCTTAGTGTGGTTTTTAAAGTACATATGAACACATTTAAGAACAAACAAGGCATAACAGATACACAACAAGCCGAGTGCAGTGGCTCACTCCTGTAATCCCAGCAGTTTGGGAGGCCGAGGTGGGCAGATCGCTTGAGGTCAGGAGTTCAAAACCAGCCAGCCAACATGGTGAAATCCTGTCTCTATTAAAAATACAAAACATTAGCCAGGCATGGTGGCTTGAGCCTATAATTCCAGCTACTTGGGAGGCTGAGGCATGAGAATTGTTTGAACCTGGAAGGCAGAGGTTGCAGTGAGCCAAGATCGCGCCACTGCACTCCGGCCTGGGCATAGACTTTGTCTCCTAAAAAAAAAAAAAAGAAGAAGACACACAACAGAGTTTAACTGGGCCTATCAGTGAGTATGGGATTATGGGTGATGTTAGCATTTCTCTTTATTTTACTTACCTATGTTTTCTAAACCTCTTGCAATTAACATGTATTACTTTGGTAATATGGAAAAATAATAAAGGTTGTTAAACTGAAGGGTTTGTGCATAACCTAAAACCATACTGGAGGAGTTCTCAGCTCCCTGAGGTGATCTCGGAATAACTCACCAAAGGTGGAGTCTTCCCCAAGCTCCTTCCCGTATTTCAGCATACAGTCCCCCAGCAAGCCTTCCGTCTGCGGGTATCCTGTGGCCTTCACCTGCCCTCGGATCTTTGACACAGTGTTCAGCATTCCTAGCTTAGCTCTGTATGCTTAAAAACATCGTCATTTGTAATTCTTTAAAGTTACAAGTTGGAGTGACAGGTACATAGCATTTAATAAATGCAGCTGCCAAAATTGAGGTCACCTTAAACAAAATGCCAGAGACCTGAGGCCTGAAACAATTGTGTGTAAACTATTTAATTTTCTCACTTAATTTTCTAGGTTCTTTACAAAGGTGGGTGCTAAGCGCACTGTTCCACAGCCACGATGAACCACAGAAATGATGGCGCACATCAGCTGGGCGCAGTGGCTCACACCTGTAATCCCAGTACTTTGGGAGGCCAAGGCGGGCGGATCACCTGAGGTCAGGAGTTCAAGACCAGCCTGACCAACATGAAGAAACTCAATCTCTACTAAAAATACAAAAAATTAGCCAGGCATGGTGGCACATGCCTGTAATCCTAGCTACTCGGGAGGCTGAGGCAGGAGAATTACTTGAACCCGGGAGGCGGAGGTTGCAGTGAGCCAAGATCGCCCCATTGCACTCCAGCCTGGGGGACAAGAGAGAGACTTAGTCTCAAAAAAAAGAAATGATGGCGCACATTGCTGACTTCAAATAATAGTGACCAGGCTTTTGTGAGCACCACCCCTTGAGTGAGACCCTTTGGAAAGCTTGCAGCTGCTAACACGTGAAGTCAGACACTGACACCTGTGTGACACTGATATGCTTTTTCTTTTGTTTAAATGTAAACAAAAATGGAATTGCCGAGGAGGATATTTCAAACAAGCAACCGGTCATTAACACACACCACATGCGCGCGCGCACACGCGCGCGCACGCACACACACACACACACACACACACATTGTGCTCCCAAGGACTGATTCAGCCTAATGATTCTCAGTATTATGGGAGGCAGATGCTGCCGTTTAGGAGGCAGAATCATAGGAGGAGACAGACCACTCACCCTTAGTGAATGCTAGCCTTGTGTGGCTGGTCCCAAGGTGCAGCTCAGCCCCTGCTCCCTAGGGAGGTGATGGGCATCACTGCGTCTTACCTTCCTTTCCTTCCTCTGACTCAGGCACTGAGTATTTACTCATTGTTGCACTGGGCCCTGTGCAACAACACACTGTGCTCATTACCGGGACTCCAGAGACAGCCTTTGCCCTGAAGGAGCTCAAAGTCTAGCTACTGGGAGGCAGAATATACAGGACGTAATTATGAAAATAAAGTCCCGTGTGGTGCAGAGCAAAGGAAAGGCAGCAATATGCTGAAGAAAGATGGAAAGTACAGAGAATAGTACAGAGAACAGTGTCAGTAACGTGTAGAAGAAGGAATACTGTGGCATAATCAGTAGACAAGGAGAAGGCTTGTTTGACCTAAAAAGATATTAATATAGGACAAAGTGGGAGACAGCTATGGGAAAATGTGACTATGATTGAAGATGTGACTATGAAAATGTGACCAAGCTAAGGATTTGAGATTTCATCCTGTACGTGAGAGAGTGAATCACATACTAGTTTGTGGTATTTGAGATACTTTTAGGTAGTCAAGAGATACATTTTTTTTCCTACTTTAATAATTTTGTACTTATTTTTAACGTATGTTAAATCAGTGCTTCTCAAATTTTTAATGTGTACGTAAATAATCCAAGGATCTTGTTAAAATGTAGAGTGATTCCCATCGGTCTGGATTGAGCTTAAGATTCCACATTTCCAGCAATAGACCGCACTGTGAATAGTGATATTCACAGTGCCAGCTGTGAATGCCACTTACATTCACCTGACATTCACAGTGCTAGCCTTTTTTGTTGTTGTTTTGAAACAACAACTGTTGCCCAGGCTGTACTGCAGTGGTATGATCACGGCTCACTGCGGCCACAAACTCCTGGGCTCAAGCGATCCTCCCGCCTCAGCCTCCTGAATAAATAGGACTACAGACGCATTACCACATCTGGCTAATTTTGAAAATGTTTTGTAGACATAGAGTCTTGCTACATTGTCCAGGCTGGTCTTGAACTCTTGGCTTCAAGCAATCATTATGTCTTGGCCTCCCAAAGCGTTGGGATTACTGGCATAAGCCACTGTGCCTGGCCAGTGCTGGACTTTTGAACCTCACATTTATCCTCAAAGCATTTATCCTCCAGGTCCCCAGGCCCAAAGGCTTCACTCCCACACACCACACACACACTCTTTCTCTCTCTCTCTGCCCATCTTTCCCGCTGTTGGAGTGGGGTGTGGGATGCAGCAGGTATATGGGTGAGAGCCATTAAACTGGATAAGAGATTGCTAGGGCTGCCTCTTCTCTAGGAATAACCAGAGACCTCTAGCCAGTGGACACTTTCATTGTTGGCCAACACCTCCTTATCCCATTCAAGAGTCAGCTGGTTGAGGGTGAAACATTTGTTTGATTTCATAGTGTATTCCAGCACCCCAAAATCCTCTAGTGCAGAGAAAGCACTTAATAAATATTTGTTGACTGATATATCAGGAAAAGCAATCTGTGGGGCTGATTTCAATCACTCATGTGGCCAGGGAGGAGAAGATACATTTTTACGGTTTTCAAAGCTATTATCAACACAATGGTAAAGAACTACTTTAGACCTGCCTGGATACATCTGATAAAATTTATATTCTTAAATTTTTACTTTCTCAGTTTTCAAATGGTTAGGTTTGTGCTGATTCCTACAGTCAAGGGAATCACAGGAACTCCACGCAAATAATAAATACCTAAAAAGGAAAGGCGGCTTCAGAAATCCACAGAATTCAAGGCTTGGGCGCCCTCTATTGGTTCTTATAATTTACAACCTGGGAAAATCTCATCAATAGATGCTGCTTGGGGACCTAGAAACCCAGACCTTCAGTGGAGAAGCTGATGTGACACTGGATTTATGCAGTCTTTCGTATTCACTACATCTTGTTTCTCCAGCATTTAAGCCATGAAGAGAAAGCTCTTTCAAATTAACATATACCTCTATGTATATGGTACACAAGGGCAGAATTTTTTTAAAAAATTATGAAGAGGAATAAAGAGGAAATAAGGGAGTAAGGAAATATTTGCCAAATGTTTAGTGGCTTTCTGAAGCAACTCATAAAAAAACCCTTGCTCAGTGCTCCCTTGTTGCTACGACCAGCATTCCATTCGGATGACGTCAACTGAAGTTCACAAATATAGCTGTTCTGTTTCTCATCAATAGGACTGAATGCAACTACCTTTGGTCACTGGAGACTCAGCTTTAAAAACTGAATTTCATTATTGGGACACAGATGACATTGTTTCTACATTATGTCAACTAAACACCAAGCAAACATGGATTATTAGGGTCTGTGACAGCAAATGAACAAGAGAATATTTCAACTTTACCTGGATTTGGCTGAAGATATTCAGTGGTTTTTGAAAGAATTTCTGCAACAGCTTTATTGGTAACATCTATTTTCTTAAAAGCAAAATTTTAAAAAGTTAGTAAATGACAAACTCAATAAATTCACAAAAGAACAGAGGAGTAATTTTCATTAATTTAATTTTTCTAACACCATTATGATGATTTTAATCCAAATGAGCATTTTCAACATTTTTGGGAGATGCAATATTTTCTCACTTTCTGATTTTTGGAACATCACTTCCTTCCAGTGATGTTGGAGAACATTAATTTACTTTTCCTTTTAACATTAAAATGAATATTAAGGTAATATTTAGAAAATCTGGAAAAGTTATTATGCTCCACTAGATTATCAGATATACTTGGAAGTCTCTCAAAACTAACACTAGACATGAACTAAACTCTCCTTATCTGCTGGGTGAACTTGAATTTCTATACTTATATAAGGATGCCACAATAATGATCCATATTAGCAACTGCCTCAGTAATCAACAATAAAAGAATCATAATCATTAGTATTATAATACAATGAACATACTCATTTGTGCTAGGTCAGATGTTAACATCAAAGTTTTCTCCAAACGTTCCCTGAAAGTTAACCCTTTCTGGTTAAGACTGAATCTTTCCTTCTGCAAAACCATTCCTGGGCTTTCTGGTTCTTAGTTAACCAGAGAGCTAATATGGGAATAAACAATAAAGTTAAAATGCAAGTTGCAATAGCTTTATTTATACCATCAATAGGCCAAAAGAAAATGTAAAGAAAAATATCTCATTCATAAAAGCAATAAAAATGTAATAACAAAGAATAACCATTATGAGAAATTCACAACACCTATTTGAAAAACCACATTCTTAGATGGTAAAACTCAATTTTGGAAAGATATGCATTCTTCCCAAATTAACATGCAAAATTCATTCAAATCCCATCATAATTTCAATTTTTTCTTTTTTTTTTTTTGTTAAAATTTGGCAAACTGATAAAGTGAGTCTTCATACTATATACATGATTTAAAATATCAACCTAAAAAAACCAGACTATAAAACGACTAACATATAGAGGACAGTATTTTGAAATACTGGAGTGGGAAGAAACTTCTAACCAGGACCTGAAATTCAAATGTCATAAATAAAAAGACCAAAATTCCGACTCCATAAAAACTCAAAAACTGAACACGAAAAGATACAGTATGTGACATTTGCCAAAAGTGGCAAACAAAAATATACAAAGGACAAAGGGTTAGTATCCATAATATTCAAAACTCCCATTTAAACAAACAAGAAAGAAGGAAAAGGCTGGAGGCAGGTGGATCACCTGAGGTCAGGAGTTCAAGACTTGGCTGGCCAACATGGTGAAACCCTATCTCTACAAAAATGCAAAAATTAGCCGGGCATGATGATGGGTGCCTGTAATCCCAGCTACTCGGGAGGCTGAGGTGGGAGAATCGCTTGAACCTGGAAGGAGAAGGTTTCAGTGAGCCGAGATCACACCACTACACTCCAGCCTGGGCAACAGAGCGAGACTCCATGTCTTAAAAAGAAAGAAGGTAAAGAGGAAAAACATAAGCTGCCTACAAAGATTTGAAAAAAATATTCAGAACTGTAAATAAAAAGGAGATACTTTACATTCTCCAGATTGATAAAAGCATTTTTAAAATCAGTTATACTCAATATCAGGTATTATATGGGTGTGGAGTAATGGGTCATTTCATATACAACAGGAATGCAAAATGATATGTTTTTGGAGGTCAAGGGAGAAGTTCTTATTAATGGACATATTAATGAGCCAGGTATTATACTTCTAAGGATTTAACCTTTTAGAAACACACCAGCAAATTGCAGTGAAGGAAAAACAAGTTTGTTAGGCCATCTTATGTAATATTGAAAATGGAAATCAATAGGAGACTGATTGGATACATTATGAAACATCCAAGTAAAGGAATACTCTTTCATCATAAGGAAAAAAAATAAGGAGGATCGACATTCAAAGTACATACAAAGGAAGAAAGCAAGCTGCAGAGTGATTTATAATAGAAGACAGATCATTTTTGTAATTTAGAGAACTATGATCCTGCCAGGGTCACAAGTTTGCAAGCAAGCAATCTTATCCTGCCTGAAATCGCATTTGTTCCCCTTAGCTAAATACATTAATTTGGACTAAATAAATTAATCTGGAGCCCCAGGAAAGTTTTAAAAGACAGTATAGAAATGATAAAAAAAAAAAAAAAAAAGGAGTCAAACCTATATTACTGATACGTGTGTGCTGTGTGTGCAAGTGGGCATGTGCGTGTGCGTTTGGCCTAGTAACAAGTTTTGTGACTTTGAGATCTCTTTGGTACGTTCAGCTATTTGCCAAGATCATTAAAATGTTTAAGAGAATCCGATAACCTAGATATTTATGTCTTATTAGTCACAAGAAATGTTAAGGGCTTAGGAAAATGCTGTTAATAGATTTTATGTGAAGTTTGAGGGAGTCCTATACACTGCCTTTGTGATTATAGCTTGAAATGTCTAAGGGAATTTACTTAATTATAGAACTGGTGGTAAATATTTAAGGATTGAATCTGTTAAGCTTATGTGTTAATTAATGCAACCTTGAATGAAAATTAACTATAATGATTATCATCTTATAGCAAAATTACTAAATTTGGAAATAAGATTCGTAAGTTCAGCTTAAAGCTTAAGAAAACTGAGGATTTTAGATTTATAATGTAACAAATTAGATATTAGTTAAAACATAGTGTTCCCTTTGATATATACAACACTTTTTGGACATGAAAAGCCATCAGAAAGCTGAGTCACTTCTGAATGAAGATGATGATGATGATGATGATGATGAGAGGAATTAGAATGGGGACATTTTCTACTTCAGATCTTTTTTTATATCGTTTGAAACAAAAAAGCCCAAGAAACAAATGACCAAAAACTTGCAAGGGCCTCGTAGGCCCTGACATGCACATACTGGAGCTGCCTCCACACCAGCTCAAGCATCAAAACTAGAAATAAACCCTTTACAAATTGAAGAGTAAATATGCTGGCTAATGTGGAGTCAAGATGAGCATTAAAAACAAACAAACAAACAAAAAAACAACAAAAACTCATGTAGCTTAAAAACAAACAAAATCTCCCTCCTAGAATAACTAAGGACACTATTGTGTGTGTGTGTGTGTGTGTGTGTGTGTGTCTGTTCACATCTACCAAATGCTATGAAAATATCTTGCCAAACCATTAAGAAAAATAGAGGAAAGCAGAGTGGTAAAAATTATTTTTGTGAAGTCAACCTGGTATGGCAGCATCTTGGTTAGTTAAATCTGGAATTTCTGTTTAATGCTGGCACCCTGCCCATGAGGTGTCCCAAGGGCTGTGCCACTGACTCCCTTAGGCCCAGCCCCTGAGTAAGACAGCTGCTAGCAACTCTCATTTCTGACACTTATATACGGCATTCTCTTTAAAAAATGCTATCAGTGGGCATATCCTCTTTCTTCTTCTTTATGTAATTTATTTGTGTTTTTCCTTTTTCTCCCTCTTGGCCACACTCGGTAGAGGTTTGTTGCTTTACAGCTTTTCTAAAGCTCTTGGCTTTGTAGTTTCGATCTTTTGTGATTATTGTTTTCTATTTTATTAATCTCTTTTTTTATCCATATTGATTTCTACCTTCTACCTAGAGTAATTTAACTTGCTGTTATTTTCCTAGCTTCTTGGATTGCATGATTTATTCACTTTCTCCCAACATTTATTTTCTTTAAATACATTTACAGTTTAGCCACATATCACAGGCTTTGACATAAAGAATTGTCACTCATGCTTAAATAACGTCATTTTACTTTCCATTTCCTCTTTAAGAATTACTCTTACATATTTTTAAATTTCCAAACATCCAGAATTTAGAAGCTCTACCTTCCCTTATACTTCTTGTGTTCTATGGTATCACTTGGGGAAATTTATCGAGTTTTTTTTTTTTTTCTATAACTTAGTACATAATTGATTACCGTATTTGTCCCAAAGGAATTTGAAAACTATGCACATTCTCCATTTGGGGAATGCAGATATCTATATTTATTTATAATCAAAGTTATTAATCATATTTTATGCAAATCCTCCATGAGCCTATTGATTATTGTCAGTTTAATCTATATTTTATGAGAGAGGTATGTGAAGTCTACTTATATTTTTATCAACTCTCCATTTATTTCTGACAGCTTCTACCTTACAAATTCAAACGCTATGTTATGTAGTGCAGAATGGTTCATAACCATTATAACTTCCTGATAGACTACATTGACTGTATCTTTTTATAATTAAAAAGCTTTTTTAAATTTAGTGCTTTTCTTGCATCAAATTTTATTATGATTTTACTATTGTTCCTCTATTTTTATATTGTTAGCATTAATTATAGAATATTTTTTCCCACTACTTTGGCATTTCTGTATCATTTTTAGGTGGGTCTAATATCATCTAATGCATCTCTTCTGGAAGGTTTTTAAAACTTCTGGTCATCTGTTATGTTTCCATCCTTTTCACTGCTGCAATAAAACAGATAATAGACTTTATGTTTCTTCTGTAACTCACTGGGGTTTTTGGAGGTAAAAGCAGGTAAGCAAGAAGGATCTCAATCCATTAACTGAAACTGAAACTCTTGAAAAATGCTTTAAAATTTAACATTTCAACTAAATCATTTTGTTAGTAACAAAGCTATACATCACATATTTGTATATTAAGAGTTTTTTAAAGTAATTTAAAGTATGTCAATGGTGTGAACATGTTTCCATGGTTTAAAGGTTCAGAAATTAATTTTTTTCAAAAGCAAAAACAAAATAAGCTTTTCCCCCTCAAGGCATTAACATTTCTAGACACTCAATAGCTCTCATCCAGAGAACAGAGAACTCCCTGGAAGATGAGCTGGCCAGAGCCAAGGTATCCTGAGGAGATACTCTCCTGGGCGGTGGACAGCCTGGGGCTGGACTTCCTCCCCCAGTACCTGCTGACATCTCTGCTACCTACTGTGTCTGCAGCCTTGATGTTACACCTGAGGGTGGACGCCTTGTGTCATTTCCTCCCTCTCTCCTTTGACAGAGGGGGCGGGGCGGGTGTCTAATTATTAAAACAAGGCTATGTTTAAAGGGCCCAGACAATGAGAAAAGAAACAGTATGTTGTTAATACTGGTGGTTCTAGTTCTGCCTCCACATGAGCAACTACACACAGCTGACTGGGAAACATGTTAAGGGACAGAGACGATACCATTTTTCTTTGGAGCATGTTACAATCATTTCTGTCCCAAGCCCTTCATATTTTTTGTAAGTTATTTCAAATATGTTAATGTTTGCATAATTCTCACAAAATCCATTTGAGACAAGCAGGGCACACTTATCATCTCTGTATCAGTTCAAAAAGATGAATTCATTTATCCAAGTTCCCACACTCTGGTTCTAGTGGCAGAACCAGGATAAAAGTTGTTTGCTATGCAGCTCCTGCAACACATGGGAGCAGAACCCGAGTCTTCCACATGGTAAATAAATCATTATGCATTTGAAAAATCTTGTCCCAGAAATACATTTTGATTCTCCAAAATATATACTACCAATTACTTTGGCCTTGCAGTAACTGCCAAGATTGCCCATCTTTTGCACATTCAGACTTCTGTCCACTAGAGGGTACCAGTTAGCCACATCGATCTCATTACTCGACCTGCGCAAACTGGATATAGCTACAGGGGGAGGATCTGATTTGGGCTGGGACGTGGGAAAGCATTGCCTCGTAGACTGCATAATCCACACCTATATTTAAACATCCTAGATTTCCACTCGAATATCCTTTACAATAGCAGTATATCTCATATCACAATGAAAGTCAGTTTCTAATCAATTTACAAATTAAAATGCTCTCTTACCCTTTCCATGTCAAGAAATTCATCGTCTAGTTTAGTTCCTTCAGCACCACTTATTTTTTCACTAAATAGCTGCAGAAATAAACATAAATAATTGCACTGTACAATGATTTCTTGTCACAGTTTTTTACCTAAATTATTAAAAACAGAAACAAACTTGGATTCAACTTGTTAGATTTTTTGAACTAAGTCCTTTAAGAAAATTGTTGGAAGGGGTAACCATATCTAAAGGCATAGGAAGACATACATTTCTCATGCAGTCAACAGATATTTATTGTGCACCTACTATGTGTAAAACACATGGTAAGTGCTGTAGGACAAAGACACGAGAGATACTTGTCATCAAGGAACACACAGTTCACCCAAAGAGTCAACACACATTCGACTAAAAAACAAGGAAAGAATAAGAACCCTTAAAAAATAATAGTACTAGAGACAAATTATTGTAAATGCACTAAGTGGTAGTCACTTCAGTGATGCACAGAATGGACTTTGAGAACCCACAGCACTGGGAGTGGGTTCATGCAGGATCTGTTTCCTAGAAGATGTGGCATTTGAGCTGGCATTTCAAGGACAGGGAACATTTCATCGGGCAGCATTGAAGAAAAGGCCTTCTGGGATGAGGCACCATGGAAAAAAGAGCCAGGGGCAGGAATGGATACAGCAAGTTTTCTCAGCCCCGGCTCTATTGATATTTATAGCAGATAATTATCTGTTGTGGGGGCTGTCCTGTGCACTGCAAGATGTTTAGCAGCATCCTCGGTCTCTACTTGCTAAAAGCCAGTACTGCAAGCATGGACACACACACACACACACACACACACACACACTTGTAACAACCAAAAATGTTGCCCAAGAGCTGAGGACAATTTGTGTATGGCCAATGTGCTCAAAAAACATCAATAAATTGTGTTTAACTGTGTAAACTAGCGCACAAGGGAGAATGGACGAAAATAAAATCTGAAACTTACGCAACGCCTGGAGCACACAGATTCTCAAATGCCAAGCTAAAGGGTACAAGTTAGAGATCCCTAAAGAGTCTTCATCAAACACAGAGAAACCCTTTAGAAAAGCAAGTCTGCCACCAGTAGGGTTGGATTAAAGAACAAGGAAGACAAATTGGAAGAAAAAAATACGTTCAATCATTTTCTTTAGCAAAATACATTAACATAATCTATGCCCTTAAAATAGTAATATGAATATTCAAATTCATAGTAAGGGAGGTGCCATCAATTAATGGTGAAAAGATTGCAGGTTGTTTTAAATGCAAATGTAGTTACTACTATTATTACACACATGCGGTATTACTATTTAATAGGAACAATATAAATGGAGACAGTATTTTACTTAAATTCGAAGTGTGAGAAGGAATTTCTTGAAGACAATAGCTAGAGAAGACTACAAAATTGGCCAGGGTTCTCCATCCTCCCTGTCCTGCGTCTTTACAGTTTCTCCCAGCTAGAGTTGGAGTCTATCTCCCCACCTAGTAAACCTGGGCTGGGCTTGTAACTTGTTTTGACCCCACAGAAACAAGCCTAGCTAGGCAGGAAAAGATCCTGTGTGCTTCCACTCACTCTCTAGAAACACTGTTGCTACCCTGTAAACAAGCCCAGGTAAATTAACTGAATGGAGAGAAACAAGTGGCCCAGACACCCCCCAAGGTACAACCAGTCCACCCTCAGAATCAGAGCCACTCAGCTGACCTGCAGGTGACTGCAGTAACGTAAGAGACCCCAGTCAAGATCAGCCCCATCTGCTGAGGCATGGGAACAGGAGTCCAATAAACGGTATTGCTTTAAACCACTGAATTGGGGTGGTTTGCTACATAATAGAAGTTATCTGGTACACTGGACAAGAATCCTTACTTTTCAGATTGAGTACAGAAGTCAGAGAGAATTATCCTAATGCCTTGATACAAGGCATAACTTCCAATAGAAAAAATCAAGAATTTCATTTCCACACACCAAGCAGTGTCGTAACAGATGTATCCATCAGCAGTTAACTCTCCTAAACATTTTTGTTGTTGTTATTCAGTAGTGAAATCATCCAACATATTGGTTCTCAACTTTGGAGGTAATAGCCTGAGAATCTAAGGAAAGTTACACAATCTCTCCTGGGGTGAGGAGTGGCACCTCCACGTTTTGTTGCCATGGTAGATTGCAAAGGTGGTCACAGGCTTTGCACCTCCTCCCATTAAGAAGTCTATTTTTCCACCTTCGACTTGCTTTGGCCAATAGAAGAGTGTAAACCACACTGTATAGCTATAAAGTCCCAATCAGTACTCACAAAGAGGCTCTACAGATACTTCTGCTCACTCTGTGAGGTCCACTGTAACTACTTCCACCTAAGTCTGGGCTGCCTTGTTGGAGAATGAAAGATAATGTGGATCAGAGATCAGCCATCCCACCTGAGCAACCTCAGACCATCATGCCCTCAGCTCACCTGGCAGCTGACCGGCAACAGGTGACTGAACCCAGCAGCGATCAGCCACACCAGCACATGCACCCACCCAGTGCTCCCAGCCCAAATTGCTGACCCACAGAATCATAAACTAAATGGACATTTTTTTTGTCTTAAGTCACTGTGTTTTGGGATGGTGGGTTATATAGCAAAAGCCAACTGATACAGAGGCCTGCCATTTCCTATGACTATTGAAACCACAGAAGCCCACACGTAGATCCACGTTTTAAAATAACTATTTGAAAATCCCTTTGGCTTGGAGAGTTAGACCCGAAATCTCTTTAATCCGAACCAGTTCTCACTCATTCAGGTTTTACTTGTTCTATTTTCAGAAACCAAAATGTCTAATAGAAGGAGTAGTGTTTCTACTTTCAAGAACAGAAACTAGTGACATGAATATATCTTATTTGAAAAGACAACATATGGGATCATTTTCAACAGGAGTCACAGGTAAGAGTCATCATTCGTTTCTGCTTTTCCTGAATTTTCCAGTGATGTTTAGCTGTTTTGATACATTAAGTATAAATACACACATAGCATTAGCTGTTTAGGCCACTCAATTATATTTCAGAGGTCAGTCAAGGAACAAATATTGTTTGTTGAGCATCTACTATGTGCAGGGACATGACTGGTACTTGGGATAGAAAGATAAAAAAGAGACGTGATTCCTACAGGGCACCTGGCCTCATTCCAGGGTTACAGGGTTATTTCCTTTAGGTGCGGGAAGCTAAATCTAAATACTCAAGCTTCTATTTCTGGTAAGACGACTATTCAAATTCAACTCTGATGCACTCCCTATGCTCTGAATACAAATCAAGGATAGATTAAATATCAAAATATGTACTCCTTATGCCTTCAATATGTAGCAAGGATAGATTAAATATCAAAAAAAGAAAACCAGAAAGATAAGCAATGCTCAAAACCAGAATAAACATTTTTGTGAACCTGAAAATGAACAGAAACACAACATGATGAACAAGGTTGAGGCCTCAGGCCTGCTGGGCTTCTTGCCTGCACACAGGCTATGACAGCCAGCAGTCTGGTTCCTGCTGAATACAAATCGATATAAAATAGTGCTCCATGAGACCAGAGTCTGGGTTCAAGTTCTGCTTACAGCTGGGGATGGAAAAGCAAATGAGGCTGGAAAAAAAAATTCAGATGTAAATCTCTGTCTGATGCTACCACATGTGGCAATCTGCAGGCCCAAGGAGACTGAAGGACAAAGAATAAGTCAAGTCACACCTCCTCCCCACTCCAGCTCTGTGACTGGATCCAGATATCCTCAGTATCACCACAGAACGGAAACCACAGTTTTGTACTGGGGCCTTGGAAAGCTGGGTGGAAGAAGCCACAATCACTAGACAGAAGTGAGCACAAAAGAGGTTAAAATTAAAATTCATCCTAGATCTAAATTCTAAGGCACATGAATAAAATATAACACCAAGAAAGAGAGCCAACAAAATCACATAACATAATATAACATAACATAACGTAACATAACATGAATTCACTTCTAGTGAAAACGATTTTATGAAACAATGTAATAAAGACTTTTTAATGTGTGTTTAGGATATTATTAAAATGATAAAGGAATAACTTCTATTAATGAAGAGCAAGCAATTATACAAAAGGACAGAAATTTTAAAGATAGACATAAAACATTAGAAACAAAAAGTATTATGTAGCCGGGCGCGGTGGCTCGCACCTGTAATCCCAGCACTTTGAGAGGCCGAGGTGGGCAGATCATGAGGTCAGGAGATCGAGACCATCCTGGCTAACACGGTGAAACCCCGTCTCCACTAAAAATACAAAAAATTAGCCGGGCATAGGGGCGGGCGCCTGTAGTCCCAGCTACCTGGGAGGCTGAGGCAGGAGAATGGCGTGAACCCGGGAGGCCGAGCTTGCAGTGAGCCGAGATCGCGTCACTGCACTCCAGCCTGGGTGGCAGAGCGAGACTCCGTCTCAAAAAAAAAAAAAAAAAAAAAAGTATTATATAGTCATAAAAATGAAAAACCCAATAGATGGGACAAACTCCAGCCTGGGCACAATCAGGAAAGAACTGGCAAGCTGGAAAATATTAAGGAATTTACTCAAAGAACATAAACAGAGACGAAGAGTTTTTTTAATGAAATATCAGTTAATCGATATGAAGGATAAGTGAGAGATTCCAAGATATATCCAACAGGCACTCCAGAAAAAAGAACAGAATACAGGAGCATCAATATTTACGAGTAAAATGGCTCTTTTCTCTTCTGTAATTGAAGGAAGTTAGGAGTCTACAGTTTGGAAGTACACTCAAGTACCATGCAAGATGAATATTAACTCACACCCAGACACAGCAAAATCTCAAGAATAAACAATCCTAAAACTATCACAGGGGCAAAAAACATCCAGAGCAACAATAAGACTGACAGCAGATTTCTCTTCTGCAACAGCAGATGCCAGGGACAATGAAGGAACAGCGTCAAAGTGCTAAAAAGAAATCAGCTAGGCACAGGATTACAGATCATGCCTATAATCACAGCACTTTGGGAGGCTGAGGCAGGTGGATCACCTGAGGTCAGGTGTTCGAGACCAGCCTGGCCAACATGGTGAAACCCTGTCTCTACTAA